ACCACACAGGACAGGACCACACAGGACAGGACAGGACCACACAGGACAGGACAGGACCACACAGGACAGGACAGGACCACACAGGACAGGCCTGGACCACACAGGACAGGACAGGACCACACAGGACAGGCCAAGACCACACAGGACAGGACAGGACCACACAGGACAGGACAGGACCACACAGGACAGGCCTGGACCACACAGGACAGGACAGGACCACACAGGACAGGCCAAGACCACACAGGACAGGACAGGACCACACAGGACAGGACAGGACCACACAGGACAGGCCCGGACCACACAGGACAGACCTGGACCACACAGGACAGGACAGGACCACACAGGACAGACCTGGACCACACAGGACAGGACAGGACCACACAGGACAGGACAGGACCACACAGGACAGACCTGGACCACACAGGACAGACCCGGACCACACAGGACAGGCCTGGACCACACAGGACAGGACAGGACCACACAGGACAGGACAGGACCACACAGGACAGGACCACACAGGACAGGACCACACAGGACAGGACAGGACCACACAGGACAGACCTGGACCACACAGGACAGGACAGGACCACACAGGACAGGACAGGACCACACAGGACACACCTGGACCACACAGGACAGGACAGGACCACACAGGACAGACCTGGACCACACAGGACAGGACAGGACCACACAGGACAGACCTGGACCACACAGGACAGGACAGGACCACACAGGACAGGCCAGGACCACACAGGACAGGACAGGACCACACAGGACAGGCCTGGACCACACAGGACAGGACAGGACCACACAGGACAGACCCGGACCACACAGGACAGGCCTGGACCACACAGGACAGGCCTGGACCACACAGGACAGGCCTGGACCACACAGGACTGACCCGGACCACACAGGACAGGACAGGACCACACAAGACAGACCCAGACCACACAGGACAGACCCAGACCACACAGGACAGGACAGGACCACACAGGACAGGACCACACAGGACAGGACAGGACCACACAGGACAGGACAGGACCACACAGGACAGGACCACACAGGATAGGAAAGGACTGCACAGGACTGACCCAGACCACACAGGACAGGACAGGACCACACAGGGCAGACCCGAACCACACAGGACAGGCCCGGACTTCCCAGGACCATCCTGGACCACCCAGGACAGGCAGGGCACACAGGACGGGTAGGGACCGCATGGACTGGCAGCTCCCCTGCAGGGGCACCTGTGCAGCCAATGGGCACAGCACCCTTGGCAGACGTGGTGGGACTCATGGCGTGTGTGTCCACACCACCCTGCGCTCAGCCCAGCCAGTGGCAGTGACTACCTGGGGCCTCAAGAGGCCAGCGCGGGCCCCGCAGACTCTGCCCTGTGACCCTGCCCGTGGACAGCGGGCAGCTGGAGGGCTGTGGGGGCCAGCTTCTGAGGAAGGCAGTGGACGGCCTGCCAGAGGGTGCGCAGGGCCTGGGCCCGCGTCCGCGGGCTGGCTGCCAGGCACACAGGTCTTCTGTGGTGTCTCTCATGGAATGTGAATCGGACTACCTAGAACCTGGAAGCTTATTCTTAAAGATCCCAGCCTGGTGCCAGTAATCCTAGCTACTCAGGAGGCTGAGATCTGAGGATCTCGGTTCAAAGCCAGCCCAGGCAGGAAAGTCTATAAGACTCTTATCTCCAATGAACCACCAGAAGACCAGAAGTGGCGCTGTGACTCAAGCAGTAGAGCGCTCGCCTTGAGCTGAAGAGCTGAGGGACAGCGCCCAGGACTAGAGTTCAAGCCCCATAACTGACAAAAAAAGATCTGCCTCCCAGGAGCCCCCAGGGGGTAGCCTGTTGAGCTGTGTGACAGCAGTAGGCCTGGCCTTCACACAGATCCACACCAGAGTGGACGGGGGGGGGGGAGGGGAGGGACACGCACGGGGCCTGGCCTTCACACAGATCCACACCAGAGTGGACGGGGGGGGGGGGGGGGGGGACACGCACGGGGCCTGGCCTTCACACGGATCCACACCAGAGTGGACGGGGGGGGGGGGGGAGGGGGGGGGACACGCACGGGGCCCGGCCTTCACACAGATCCACACCAGAGTGGACGGGGGGGGAGGGGAGGGACACGCACGGGGCCCGGCCTTCACACAGATCCACACCAGAGTGGACGGGGGGGGGAGGGGGGGACACGCACGGGGCCCGGCCTTCACACGGATCCACACCAGAGTGGACGGGGGGGGGGGGGGGGAGGGACACGCACGGGGCCCGGCCTTCACACAGATCCACACCAGAGTGGACGGGGGGGGGGAGGGGGGGGGGACACGCATGGGGCCCGGCCTTCACACGGATCCACACCAGAGTGGACGGGGGGGGGGGAGGGGGGGGGACATGCACGGGGCCCGGCCTACACACAGATCCACACCAGAGTGGACGGGGGGGGGGGGGGACACGCACGGGGCCCGGCCTTCACACAGATCCACACCAGAGTGTACGGGAGGGGGGGGACACGCACGGGGCCCGGCCTTCACACGGATCCACACCAGAGTGGACGGGGGGGTGGGGGGACACGCACGGGGCCCGGCCTACACACAGATCCACACCAGAGTGGACGGGGGGGGTGGGGGGACACGCACGGGGCCTGGCCTTCACACAGATCCACACCAGAGTGGACGGGGGGGGGGGGACACGCACGGGGCCTGGCCTTCACACAGATCCACACCAGAGTGGACGGGGGGGGACACGCACGGGGCCTGGCCTTCACACAGATCCACACCAGAGTGGACGGGCGGGGGGGGGGGGGGACACGCACGGGGCCCGGCCTTCACACAGATCCACACCAGAGTGGACGGGGGGGGGGGGGGGACACGCACGGGGCCCGGCCTTCACACAGATCCACACCAGAGTGGACGGGGGGGGGGGGGACACGCACGGGGCCCGGTCTTCACACAGATCCACACCAGGGTGGACGGGGGGGGACATGCACGGGGTCCGGCCTTCACACGGATGCACACCAGAGTGGACGGGGGGTGGGGGGACACGCACAGGGCCCGGCCTTCACACGGATGCACACCAGAGTGGACGGGGGGTGGGGGGACACGCACAGGGCCCGGCCTTCACACGGATCCACACCAGAGTGGACGGGGGGGAGGGGGGACACGCACGGGGCCCGGCCTTCACACAGATCCACACCAGAGTGGACGGGGTGGGAGGGACACGCACGGGGCCCGGCCTTCACACAGATCCACACCAGAGTGGACGGGGGGGGGAGGGACACGCACGGGGTCCGGCCTTCACACGGATGCACACCAGAGTGGACGGGGGGTGGGGGGACACGCACAGGGCCCGGCCTTCACACGGATGCACACCAGAGTGGACGGGGGGTGGGGGGACACGCACGGGGCCCGGCCTTCACACGGATCCACACCAGAGTGGACGGGGGGGGGGGGGGAGGGACACGCACGGGGCCCGGCCTTCACACAGATCCACACCAGAGTGGACGGGGGGGGGGAGGGGGGGGGGACACGCACGGGGCCCGGCCTTCACACGGATCCACACCAGAGTGGACGGGGGGGGGGGGGGAGGGGGGGGGACATGCACGGGGCCCGGCCTACACACAGATCCACACCAGAGTGGACGGGGGGGGGGGGGGGACACGCACGGGGCCCGGCCTTCACACAGATCCACACCAGAGTGTACGGGAGGGGGGGGACACGCACGGGGCCCGGCCTTCACACGGATCCACACCAGAGTGGACGGGGGGGTGGGGGGACACGCACGGGGCCCGGCCTACACACAGATCCACACCAGAGTGGACGGGGGGGGGTGGGGGGACACGCACGGGGCCTGGCCTTCACACAGATCCACACCAGAGTGGACGGGGGGGGGGGGGGACACGCACGGGGCCTGGCCTTCACACAGATCCACACCAGAGTGGACGGGGGGGGACACGCACGGGGCCTGGCCTTCACACAGATCCACACCAGAGTGGACGGGCGGGGGGGGGGGGGACACGCACGGGGCCCGGCCTTCACACAGATCCACACCAGAGTGGACGGGGGGGGGGGGGACACGCACGGGGCCCGGCCTTCACACAGATCCACACCAGAGTGGACGGGGGGGGGGGGGGACACGCACGGGGCCCGGTCTTCACACAGATCCACACCAGGGTGGACGGGGGGGGACATGCACGGGGTCCGGCCTTCACACGGATGCACACCAGAGTGGACGGGGGGGTGGGGGGACACGCACAGGGCCCGGCCTTCACACGGATGCACACCAGAGTGGACGGGGGGTGGGGGGACACGCACAGGGCCCGGCCTTCACACGGATCCACACCAGAGTGGACGGGGGGGAGGGGGGACACGCACGGGGCCCGGCCTTCACACAGATCCACACCAGAGTGGACGGGGGGGGAGGGACACGCACGGGGCCCGGCCTTCACACAGATCCACACCAGAGTGGACGGGGGGGGGAGGGACACGCACGGGGCCCGGCCTTCACACGGATCCACACCAGAGTGGACGGGGGGGGGGGAGGGACACGCACGGGGCCCGGCCTTCACACGGATCCACACCAGAGTGGACGGGGGGGGGGGGGCGGGGGGACACGCACGGGGCCCGGCCTTCACACGGATGCACACCAGAGTGGACGGGGGGGTGGGGGGGACACGCACGGGGCCCGGCCTTCACACAGATCCACACCAGAGTGGACGGGGGGGAGGGACACGCACGGGGCCTGGCCTTCACACGGATCCACACCAGAGTGGACGGGAGGGGGGGGGAGGGGGGGGACACGCACGGGGCCCGGCCTTCACACGGATCCACACCAGAGTGGACGGGGGGGGGGGAGGGGGGGGACACGCACGGGGCCCAGCCTTCACACGGATCCACACCAGGTGGACAGGAGGAGGACACCGTGTTGGGACCGCTTGGGAACAGGCCCTGGTTATCAATTAACCGACTCCTTTAAATCAGGAAGGAGCTGTCCCGGGAGGGAGCGCCCGTGCCGCTCTGCGTCCTGCAGCCAGCCTGCCCCCGGGAGCCCTCTGGCATGGCGCAGGCCGGGGAGCCGGGCACCCCTGCGGAGGACGGCGGGGAGCAGAGGCCGAGGTGGGACAACAAGGCCCAGTACCTCCTCAGCTGCGTGGGGTTCGCCGTGGGGCTGGGGAACATCTGGAGGTTCCCGTACCTGTGCCAGACCTACGGGGGAGGTAAGCAGGCCCGCCGGCCGCCGCACCCTGCGGGAGGACCGAGCCCGCACACCCCTGTCCTGGGTGCAGTCTACTTCACTACTGCACACCGAAGGGCCCGCTGCCACTGAGCCCCCTCCCAGGCATCTTTAGGGCCCCGCATTCCCACACGGGCCAGGCAGGACCCCAGGTCTGCCTGCCGGTGCTGCTGCTGCTGGACGCACCGGTGACCGCCTGCTGACCCCGCGTCCCGCGGGGGTCTTCCTCGTCCCCTACCTCATCGCCTGCTGACCCCGCGTCCCGCGGGGGCCTTCCTCGTCCCCTACCTCACCTCCTGCTGACCCTGCGTCCCGCAGGGGCCTTCCTCATCCCCTACCTCATCGCCCTGGCTTTTGAGGGGATGCCACTCTTCCACATCGAGCTTGCCATCGGCCAGCGCCTGCGGAGGGGCAGTGTCGGGGTGTGGACGGCCATCTCTCCCTACCTTGGTGGAGTAGGTGTGTATCTGCCTCCTAGACCAACGACGGGACCCCCGGGCGGGCAGAGGCCGCAGCACAGACTGCTCGGGAGGACCGTGTGCCCGTCCCGGGCGGGGTGTTTGTTTTGCTCTTGTTCTCACTGTGTGGGGCGCCACCGTGTCCGCAGGCTTTGGCTGCTTCACCGTGTCCTTCCTGATCAGCCTGTACTACAACACCGTCCTCGTGTGGGTCCTGTGGTTCTTCCTCAACTCCTTCCAACACCCTTTGCCCTGGAGCACCTGCCCGCCAGACCTCAACAGGACAGGTGAGGCACGCAGAGCTGGGCAGTCCCGGGAGGCGCGTGGCGCGTGGCGGGAAGCTGGGCCCTGCATCAGTGTGAAATCCAGCCCCTCTCGTCTGTGCTCAGCCTCTGCTGGGCTCAGGGCCCCCGGATGCCGGCCACTCCCAGGGAGGTGTCTGGCTTCTGGCAGACATTACCCCAGCCTTGGGCCCTGAGAAGGGAGAGGGCTCCACCACCCAGAAGGAAGCAGGGGAAACACTTCCCATGGGCACCAAGGCTGCTGGGGCACAGGACCCGCTGGGGAGGCCGGCGGCCTGGGCCTCCTCTGAGCACGGGACCCGCTGGGGAGGCCGGCGGCCTGGGCCTCCTCTGAGCACGGGACCCGCTGCGGAGGCCGGCGGCCTGGGCCTCCTCTGAGCACGGGACCCGTTGGGGAGGCCGGAGGCCTGGGCCTCCTCTGAGCACGGGACCCGCTGGGGAGGCCGGAGGCCTGGGCCTCCTCTGAGCATGGGACCCGCTGCGGAGACCGGCGGTCTGGGCCTCAGTGCAGCACAGCTGTAGCAGCAGTGTGGCTACCCTGGCTCCAGGGCCAGCCGGTGACCGCCCGCCTGGCCGCAGGGTTTGTGCAGGAGTGTCAGGCCAGCAGCACCGTGAGCTACTTCTGGTACCGGCAGACGCTGAACATCACAGCCGACATTGGCGACAGCGGCGTGGTCCAGTGGCAGCTGCTCCTCTGCCTGGTCACCTGCTGGATGGTTGTGTACCTGTGTGTCATCAGAGGTATCGAGAGCACTGGGAAGGTGAGCCACGGGCCGGGACCCTTCCCCCCCTCCCCAGGACCTTCCCAGGCTGCTCTGAGCTCCGCGGTGAGGCCTGGGCTCACTACACTGCTGTGTCTTCCCAGAGGACCGGTCCTTCCATCCTCCTGGACCCTGTGATGTCCCGCTCTGGGGCTTGTCGATGTTGGCCAGCCAGCCCAGCTCTCTTTAAACCACCTTAGCATATCTACTCCTCACCGATATACATCATGCTGGAAGTGTGTCGCCTGGAGACCATTTACTCACATCTCTCTTTTTTTTTTTTTTAATTTTTGTCAGTTGTGGGGCTTGAACTCTGGGCCTGGGCGCTGTCCCTCAGCTCTTCAGCTCAAGGCGAGCGCTCTACCATTTGAGCCACAGCGCCACTTCTGGTTTTCTGGTGGTTTATTGGACATAAGAGTCTCGTGGACTTGCCTGCCTGGGCTGGCTTTGAACCGCGGTCCTTGGGGCTCCGCCTCCTGAGTAGCTAGGGTGACAGGCGTGGCCAGCGGCCCCCGGCCCCCATCTCTTTTATCATCCAGACAGCTCTGCCTCTTCCCAGAGGCGCTTGCACTTCACTCACAGCGACCGAGCGCTGACCTGGGGAGGGTTCACGCCAGTGCTACCTCGTTTTCAGTCTGGCCAGTCTGCTCTGTGTCTCTCTTTTTCCGGTGTAGGACTCTGTACTGGTGTAGTGGCGGTCGGGCTCAGGGGAGCTGGCGTCCCCTCCCATGCTAACCACTGATTATTGTGCCTTAAGAAGCTCATTGTTCTTTGCTTCCCTCCCTCCCAGCCTTGGCGGTATTCTCATACATTTTGCTTACAAATAACTGGCAGATGATTTTCTCTGTCTCTGTCCTCTCTTTCCTCTGTCTCTCCTCTGCCTCCCCCTCTCTCTCCCTCGTTCTCCTTTCTTTGTCCTTTCCTCTTTCCTTTTCCTCTTCTCTCCCTCTCTTCCTCCTCTCTCTCCCTTTCTCCCTCCCTCCCCCCCCCGCACTAGGCACCGTATGCGAGGCTTCATGCTTGCTATCTCCCCCACCCCTCTGTCCCTCCCCCCTCCCCCCCCCCCCCGGCACTAGGCACCGAATGCGAGGCTTCATGCTTGCTATCTCCCCCACCCCTCTGTCCCCCCCCCCCCCCCCGGCACTAGGCACCGTATGCAAGGCTTCGTGCTTGCTGCACAAGTGCTGTCCCGCCAGTGTGCCCCAGCCCCGTTGGACAGGTGATTTTCGAGGTCTTGTGTTTTGTCAGATCAGCCTGGGTTTTGCCATCTTTCTGCTTGTCTTCGTGTTGCCGGGGGTGACAGGCATGCTGGCAGGGGCAGCCATTGTTGATGGCCCTGGCTGGCCTCAAGCCCCAGTCCCTGACCTCTGCCTCCACGCGGCTAGGATTGGAAACCCCGGTCTTGCTCGGGGATTCTTCTTCTATAGCAACTTAAGCAGCAAGCACACCAGCATCGCTCTTCACCGCTGCGTGGCTCTGTGGCAGCCCAGGCTGACCACATCACTGAGCCTGTGCCCCTGCTTGGGCTTTGGCTTGGTGCCCCGGGGCCTCTGCCCAGGACCTGGTCACTCTGTGCATGTGCTCAGCCCGCTGCAGACAGCACGACCCCACACTCAGCTCCCTACAAGGACAGGTGGCTGCCAGGTCCCAGAGCAGAAGTGGTGGGCAGGGCCTCTGTGAAGCCTCCAGGGCGCAGGCCGTGAGGGCAGTGCGTCCACCTGCAAACCACCACCTGTGGTCCTCAGAGCCCAGACACTGCCCATGCCCAGGGAGGCGGGCACTGTGTGCAGGGGAGGGTCCACAATACAGCCAGGGCCCCGCCTGCGGCCAGCGGGCATCAAGATAAAGAGGATGGGAGCCACAAGGTCCTGGCTGGGAACACAGACAGGAGGCTGGAGAGGAGACCCAATGGGAAAGGTCAGAAACAGATGCCCAGGGATACCAGGATACTGGAGGGGGGTGCTGGGAAGGAGGGGAGGCTGCAGTGGAGGATGGAAAGGGGTAGGGGAGGCTGGAGGAAAGGGGGAAGGTGGGAGAAGAGGAGTGGGGGGTAGAAGGGGACTGGAATAGAGGCTAAAAAAGAGCACAGCTCAGGCATCTACCAGGGACTAGCCCCAGTCACGGGGCACTGACCTGTCCTGGGTGGTCAGTGCCTCTCCCAGCTGTCCCCGGCCTGTCCTGGCCAGTCCATGCCTGTCCAGCTGACCTCACAGAGGCCCAGTGGTGAAAGTGACGGCAAGTGTGATATCCTGAGAAGCCAGAAGCAGGATCCTAACCCTGATGTGACCCCAGCTGCACACACACCCACATCGGTGTGGCCTGCACTCACACACACATCGGTGTGGCCTGCACTCACACCCACATCGGTGTGGCCTGCACTCACACCCACATCGGTGTGGCCTGCACTCACACACACATCGGTGTGGCCTGCACTCACACACACCCACATCTGGGTGTGGCCTGCACTCACACACACATCGGTGTGGCCTGCACTCACACACACATCGGTGTGGCCTGCACTCACACACACACACATCGGTGTGGCCTGCACTCACACACACACACATCTGGGTGTGGCCTGCACTCACACACACACACACACATATGGGTGTGGCCTGCACTCACACACACACACACACATCTGGGTGTGGCCTGCACTCACACACACATATCTGGGTGTGGCCTGCACTCACACACACACACATCTGGGTGTGACCCGGCCTGTACTCACACACACACATCTGGGTGTGGCCTGCACTCACACACACACACATCTGGGTGTGGCCTGCACTCACACACACACACATCTGGGTGTGGCCTGCACTCACACACACACACATCTGGGTGTGGCCTGCACTCACACACACACACATCTGGGTGTGGCCTGCACTCACACACACACACACACACAATCTGGGTGTGACCCAGCCTGCACTCACACACACATCGGTGTGGCGTGCACTCACACACACACAAATCTGGGTGTGACCCGGCCTGCACTCACACACACACACACACACACCTGGGTGTGGCCAGGCCTGCTGCCCACCTGCCCCCTGCCGGCTCCCCTGGCAACAGCTGCCAATGCCTCGTGTCCTCCAGGCCATCTACTTCACCGCCTGCTTCCCCTACCTGGTCCTGACCATCTTCCTCATCCGAGGCCTGACCCTGCCCGGGGCCGCTGAGGGCCTCACCTACCTCTTCACTCCCAAGGTGAGTGGAGGCTGGCATAGGAGGCTGAGCTGCCTGGAGCAGATGGGTAGAGGCCAGGCCGGCCAGGCTGTGCGGGGGGGGGGGGGGGGTCTGTGTTCTGGGACAGGTGGACGCAGGCACTTGTGGATGTGGGGTCGCTGCGCTCATCGGGCAGGCTGGAGAGCGGGCGTGGGCTGGGCACAGCCGAGAAGCTGCCCGGGAGCCCGGGGCCGCTCTCCTCCACACGGGCGGCACCCCTGCCTGCCCTCACCCCGGGCCTGCCTCCAGCAGTGGACACCTTCCAGGGGCCCCCAGTTTGTGCAGGGTCCCAGGGCATGCACACCCCGGTGTGAGGGTGCCACAGCCCGGGGGCCGCCGCAGAGGCCCGCAGAGGCCCGCAGAGCCGACGAGTCTGCCCAAGTCTCTGGTGGCAGCCAAACCAACAGCTCCTGCGTGAACGCTCCACACCGCCACACCCCCGCCTGGAAACGGCCTAAGCCCAGGCTGCACAACCTCCTGCAGGCCTAGCAGACCACAAGCCTGTCAGCACACCAGAGAACAGGGTCACACTGCACCACCAGACCACAGAACAGCACCACACCACACCACAGGCCCCAGAGCAGGGCCAGCCCCTGCCCCCTGAGCACCCCTTGAGGTCTGTTCTCTCCTGTGTGAAAGCCCCAAAGGAATGCAGAGAAGGTTCTGGAACAGCTGAATGGGCTGGGAGATGGGCTGCTGCACAGGCCTCCCGGTCTCATTCCAGATGCAGACTCTCCAGAATCCCCGGGTGTGGCTGGACGCGGCCACACAGATCTTCTTCTCCCTCTCTCTGGCCTTTGGAGGTCACATTGCTTTCGCAAGCTACAACCCACCCAGGTAGGTGTGGGTGCGCTACACCCACCCAGGCAGGTGAGGTAGGTGTGGGTGAGCTATAATCCACCCAGGCAGGTGGCCAGCTTGGGTGAGGTGCGGAGTCCTCTCCTGAGGCCACGCAAGCCCTTCTTGATATCGGTGGTCACTCTGGGGACCAGGGCAATCTGTGTGAATGTGGGGCGGGAACTTGGTGCTGGGCCTGGCACCCCATGGGGTCCAGCTGTCTCCAAGGACAGCAGGGCTGCCTGGCGGCGTCCAGCATCTCCCGGGGAAAGCCACTCATCAGCCAGGCCCAGGGCTCTGCCCATCCCAGGACGCCATCAGTAACACTCTGCAAACAAAGGTGTCCATTTGGAAAGAGCAGAGCCAGGGAAAGGCGAGGCCGGGAGCCACCATGGGCGGGTTCAAAGAGGGCTCTGCAAGGGGAGGCAGACAGTTGACGCAATAATCGCTGGCCACGGTGACTGGTCATCAGGGTGGCACCAGCACGGCCGGCTGCCGGTCGAGGTCCTCCGGGAATGCTTCCTGCCCGGGGTCCAGCGCAGCCTCTGGGGCCCACGGTGCAGCCGGGATCCTCGCTCTCGCCTCCCACGGGCGTGACACTCGCAGGAACGCCTCCGCACAAGGGTCACAGCCACGTCCACACAGCGTGCTAACCCTGCCGTCCCCCATCAGAGGCACGGCTGCTTCCTAGGGCCCACAGGACCCCACATCCCCAGCCAGGAAGCAGGACGGACTTTAAACCCAGAACCGTCTGCCGTCGGCCGCCTTTCCGTCCACTGAGGGGTGGGTGGGTGCCTGCGGCTGCGGGGAGGACTCTGGCCGGCCGCGTCCCCAGCCATCTTCAGGGACAGATGCAAGGACCAGGGCCTCAGAGCACCTGGGACCACCCCTCGCTAGCCTACACACAAGGGTGCCCTTCTCCTGAGACAGGACCCAGCCCTCAGCCTCCTGCTGCCCTGTCTGGGGCCTCTCCAGTTTCAGACCCTTAGTAGCCTTGAAGTGAGCTGTATGGAGGGAGTACAGGGAGGGGCTGAGGCCTGGGGGCTCAGGTATCACCCACAGGCTGCGCTCGGAGTGGGACCTGGGCTGGGAGAGGCTGGGAGGTGCTGGGAAGGGCTGGGAGGGGCTGGGAGAGGCTGGGAGAGGCTGGGAGGGGCTGGGGGGCTGGGAGGGGGTGGGAGGGGCTGGGAGGTGCTGGGAGGGTCTGGGAGAGGCTGGGAGGGTCTGGGAGAGGCTGGGAGGGGTGGGGGGGGCTGGGAGGGGTGGGGGGGGGCTGGGAGGGGCTGGGAAACCCGCAGGCTGCGCTGGTAGTGCGACTGGGCTGGGGGTCCAGGGAAAGGCCCCACGTCTCCCCACGCGGGCGGGCTGTGAGCACACTGTGGGTGATGCACTTGTGCTTGTACCCAGGAACAATTGTGAGAAGGATGCTGTGGTCATCAGCCTGGTCAACAGCCTGACTTCCCTGTACGCATCCCTCACCATCTTCTCCATCATGGGGTTCAAGGCGACCATGGACTACAGGAGGTGCCTGGACAGGTGAGCACAGTGCCAACTGGGCGTCCCAGGGCACCGCTGGGATGGGGTGGGAGTGGGGCGCACGCCCCGGACGAGGGGGAGCCGTCCTGCAGCAGGGTGCCTCAAATCTGACCGCCAGTGTCCTTGTAAGAGGCAGAGGAGGGCACGGAGGGAGAGCATGTGGGACACAGGAGAACGCGGCTGTGGCGTGACTGTAACAAGGCTGTGGCGTGTGGCGTGGCCGTGGGCTGTGGCATGTGGCGTGGCCGTGGGCTGTGACGTGTGGCGTGGCCGTGGGCCGTGGCGTGTGGCATGGCCGTGGGCTGTGGTGTGGCCGTGACCATAACAAGGCTGTGACGTGTGGCGTGGCCATGGGCCGTGGGCTGTGGCGTGGCGGTGGGCTGTGGTGTGTGGCATGGATGTGGGCTGTGGCATGTGGCGTGGCTGTGGGCTGTGGCGTGGCTGTGGGCTGTGATGTGTGGCATGGCTGTGGGCTGTGGCGTGTAGTGTGGCCGTGGGCTGTGGCGTGGTCGTGGGCTGTGGCATGGCCGTGACTGTAACAGGGCTGTGATGTGTGACGTGGCCGTGGGCTGTGGTGTGGCCGTGACCGTAACAGGGCTGTGTCGTGTGTCATGGCCGTGGGCTGTGGTGTGGTCGTGACTGTAACAGGGCTGTGGCGTGTGGCGTGGCCGTGGGCTGTGGTGTGGCCGTGACCGTAACAAGGCTGTGACGTGTGATGTGGCCGTGGGCTGTGGCGTGGCTATAATGTGGCCGTGGCTGAGGGCACCAGCACCTCCGGCACTGGAGGAGGCAGGGACACGTCTCAAACACCCGCGGTTCTGCCCCAGCTTGGACTTTGACGAGGTCTGGAGATGGAGCGGCTGGCACTTGCCTGGGATCAGGCATCCGCCGCTCTCAGGCACGCTTCTGCGCCCAGGCCAACCGCGCGGGCGTCTGCGGTACTCAGGGGACGGCTTGCTCTAACCCCGCGGGCACAGAGGAGACACACAGGACAGAGTGGCCGTGCCACGCGCAGCCTGAGCCCCGAGCCTCAGAAGCTGTGAGAAGGTGCGGCACCCCAACAAACAGTGCGGACCCTCAGAACAAGAGAATCTTCCAGCACCTGCGGCTGAGACACAAGACCGGACCCCACTAGAGTCTTTTCCCTCACGACATTAGAAGAGCGTCAAGCGTGTGCTCACGTCCCAGTGAGCCTCACTGCCTGGGGCTGCGGCACAGCCCGCCGCCCAGCCCCAGCTGGCTCAGCCACCGCGCAGGGGCCTGGGATCTCAGACCCAGAGTCACGGGGCGCCGGGCCACGGCTCCGGGGACACCGGGTCAGGCTCCCGAGTGTGCCTGGCCTGCTCCCGTATTTCTGTGGAACGGCTCCGTACTGAATGTTGGTGCGCTGTGCAGCCATTGAGTTACAGGCACCTGAAGATCACCTCTCGCCGCCTCCACCAGCCCACACCACCTCCACCACACCCTCCACCACGCCCTCCACCACGCCCTCCACCACACCTCCACCACGCCCTCCACCACACCTCCACCACGCCTCCACCACACCCTCCACCACGCCTCCACCACGCCCTCCACCACGCCTCCACCACACCTCCACCACGCCCTCTACCACGCCTCCACCACGCCACCACGCCCTCCACCACGCCTCCACCACGCCCACCACGCCCTCCACCACACCTCCACCACACCCTCACCACACCTCTACCACGCCCTCCACCATACCTCCACCACACCTCCACCACACCCTCACCACACCTCCACCAAACCCTCCCTCACCACACCTCCACCACACCCTCCACCACACCTCCACCAAACCCTCCACCACACCCTCACCACGCCCTCCACCACACCTCCACCACGCCCTCCACCACGCCTCCACCACGCCCTCCACCACACCCTCCACCACACCACCACGCCCTCCACCACACCTCCACCACACCCTCCACCACGCCCTCCACCACACCCTCCACCACGCCTCCACCACACCCTCCACCATGCCCACACTGCCACCTCCACCCCGCCCACACCCCCACCACTGGCCGGGACACGAGGCAGCGCCGCTGCACTGTGTGAGGTTATTTTAAACAGCAAGATTGCCAGCAAAAATGCAAAGAATGGGGCACTCGATGGGGCACAGAAGAGACCCATGGGCAGCAGGGGACGAGACGGCGCCAAGTTCTCGCCTGGCTGGAGCCTCGTGGGCCACTGACTAAATTTTGTCACCCAGTGTCTGCCCGGAACCACAAAAGAGCTCAGGTACCGGGCCAGGTGTGGCGCAGGGCACTGGCTGGATGGCACCGGCCCCCGGGCGCCAGCCCAAGCGTCGCCAGGCTTAGCAGTTGATTCAGCAGGTTGTGGACAGCACGGAGTGCCTGCTGGCACAGAGTCCTGCCTGGAGTGCCACCGTTCCGGAGGGCTCAGCGTGTTTGGAGGTGGAGGGAGGAGGAGGATCCCTCCCAGCCCAGCCTGAGAAGCCCGGCCTGACGCGGCCTCCACCCGTCAGGAAGCGCGCGTCTCCTCCCCATTCTCACTCGGCCCCGAGCGTCTGAGCAGGCAGGCGGGCAGGCACCCGGGGTTCCTGGGCCCCCAGAGCGGGCGTGCGCAGGGAGTTCAGCCTGACGTGGGGCCACAGCTGCTAGTGTTTGCACGAGCATTTCCTGGAATGTACGCCCCATGCCACCCCTTGCTCACCAGCCTCCCTCCACCCTGCAGAAACATCCTCAGCCTCATCGATGAGTTTGATTTCCCAGAGCAGAGCATCTCCAGGGACGACTACCCAACCGTGCTCACACACCTGAACGCCACTTGTCCAGAGAGAGTGGCCCGGCTCCGCCTGAGGGCCTGCCAGCTGGAGGACTTCCTGGATAAGGTAGTGTTTGGTGGGGAAGGTAGTGGGTGGCGTGGAAGGACGGAGGCAGTGTGCGGGACGGGTAGGGGCGGGGGGAGGGCTGTGCCCGGGACGGGGGTCTGTGCGGGATGTGGGGGGCGTGGGATGGGAGGGCTGTGTGCGGGATGGGGGCCTGCGCGGGACAGAGGGGCCGTGTGCAGGACAGAAGGGCTGTATGCAGGACAGGGGGGCCATGCGCGGGACAGAGGGGCTTTGTGCGGGACGGGGTGGGCCGCGTGTGGGATGGGGGCCGCGTGCGGGACGGGGGGGGCCGCGTGTGGGACGGGGTGGGCCGCATGCGGGACAGGGGGTCCACGTGTGGGATGGGGGCCGCGTGCGGGACGGGGGGGGCCGCGTGCAGGACGGGGGGCCGCGTGCGGGACGGGACGGGGGGGCCGCGTGCGGGACGGGGGGGCCGCGTGCGGGACGGGGGGGCCGCGTGCGGGACGGGGGGCCGTGTGCGGGACGGGGGGCCGTGTGCGGGATGGGGGGCTGTGTGCGCAGGATGGGGCTGTGTGCGGGACGGGGGGCTGCGTGCGGGACAGGGGGCTGTGTGCGGGACGGGGGGCTGTGTGCGCAGGATGGGGCTGTGTGCGGGACGGGGGGCTGTGTGCAGGATGGGGGCCGTGTGCGGGACGGGGGGCCGCGTGCGGGACGGGGGGGCCGTGTGCGGGACGGGGGGCTGTGAGCAGGATGGGGGCTGTGTGCAGGACGGGGGGGCTGTGTGTGGGACTGGGGTGCTGTACGTCAGATGGGGGGGCCACTGTGGGACAGGAGGCCGTGTGCGGGAGGACAGGAAGCACGCAGGGTCAGTCTGGCAGAACACAGCTCAGAGGAGCATTTCCCACAGATCCAAGCCCAGGCTCGGCAGAGGGGTGGTGAACACCATCTGCCTCGAAGCCTAGGCTGGCCGAGGGAGCCAGTGCCACTGGGCACAGACCCCAGGGACAGCCACTGCTCAGGTGGCAGAGCCCCATGGGCTCCTGGGACCCGGAGCCCCAGGCGGGGACGGCGGCAGGAGGCCAGTCCTCACGCCGTGTGTCACGCTGGCCTCCGGAGTCCCGGAGCCTCTCACCGGCTCGCGCGCCCCTCGCTCATGCCCCTTCCCTCAGCGTGAACCCGAGGCCAGCTCACACCTGCAACCCTAGCTGCTCAGGGGGAGATCTGAGCCAGGCCAGGCAGGAAGGCTCCGGAGACTCCTGACACCACTCAACCAGCACAGAGCTGAAGCGGAGCTGTGGCTCCATGGCCACACACCAGCCTTAAGCATAAAAGCCAAGTGAGAGCGTGAGATTCTGAGATCTGGCCCCAGAAGAAAGGAAAAAGAAGGGAGGGAGGGAGGGAGGGAGGAGAGGGAAAGAGGGAGGGAGGGAAGGAAGGAAAGGGAGGAAGGGAGGGAGGGAGGGAAGGAGGGAAGGGAGGAAGGGAGGGAGGGAGGGAGGGAGGGAGGGAGAGAGGACAGACCTGTGGCCTGCCCCAGTGCACGCATGCGGTGAGCAGGAGCCCGTGTGGCTTGGCTGTGTCCTAACATGCAGGCAGGGCGTGTACATGTGTGTGGTGTGGGAGCCTGTGTGGCGTGGGCAGGGCGTGTGCACGTGTGTGGTGTGGGAGCCTGTGTGGTGTGGTCAGGGTGTGTGCAGTGAGCAGGTGCCCGTGTGGTGTGGGCAGGGCGTGCGCACGCGTGGTGAGCAGGTGCCCGTGTGGCGTGGGCAGGGTGTGCGCACACGTGGTGAGCAGGTGCCCGTGTGGCATGGGCAGGGTGTGTGCTCGCGTGTGGTGTGGGTGCCCATGTAGCGCGGGCAGGGCGTGTGCACGTGTGTGGTGTGGGTGCCCGTGTGGCGCCATCAGGGCGTGCACACGCATGTGGTGTGGGTGCCTTGTGGTGTGGTCAGGGCGCATGCACGCGTATGGTGTGGGTGCCCGTGTGGCGTGGTCAGGGCGTGTGCACGCATGTGGTGTGGGTGCCCTGTGGCGCGATCAGGGTGTGTGCACGCGTGTGGTGTGGGTGCCCTGTGGCGCGGTCAGGGTGTGTGTACGTGTGTGGTGTGGGTGCCCTGTGGCGCAATCAGGGTGTGTGCACGCGTGTGGTGTGGGTGCCCTGTGGCGCGGTCAGGGTGTGTGCACGTGTGTGGTGTGGGTGCCCTGTGGCGCGATCAGGGTGTGTGCACGCGTGTGGTGTGGGTGCCCTGTGGCGCGGTCAGGGTGTGTGCACGTGTGTGGTGTGGGTGCCCGTGTGGTGTGGGTGCCCTGTGGCGTGGTCAGGGCGTGTGCACGCGTGTGGTGTGGGTGTCGTGTGGCGCGGGCAGGGCGTGTGCACGCGTGTGGTGTGGGTGCCGTGAGGCGCGGGCAGGGCGTGTGCACGTATGTGGTGTGGGATCCCGTGTGGCACGGTCAGGGCATGTGCACGCGTGTGGTGTGGGTGCCCTGTGGTGTGGGCAGGGCGTGTGCACGCGTGTGGTGTGGGTGCCGTGAGGCGCGGGCAGGGCGTGTGCGTCTGAGTGCCGCCCTGTGCTGCAGAGTGCCTCAGGCCCGGGCCTGGCCTTCCTGGTCTTCACGGAGGCTGTGCTGCACATGCCAGGCGCCTCTGCCTGGGCCGTGCTCTTCTTCGGCATGCTCTTCACCCTGGGCCTGTCTTCCATGTTCGGGAACATGGAGAGTATCATCACGCCTCTCCTGGACATGGGCATCTTGCCCAGAAGAATCCCAAAGGAGGGCCTGACGGGTGAGTGGAGGCGTGGACGCAGGGGCCTGGCCCTTGGCAGGTTCTTGGCCCGCTGCCCACACAGGGCCTCTAGACACAGAACCCCAGGGGCCTCGCCTGGACCGCGCGGGGGGAGGGGGCCTGGACCGACTGCTCTGTGCGGTGGGGGCACCATGGGCCAACTCAGGAGTCCAGGGCAGGGCGGGGCTTTCCCTCCCACATGCCCATGGGGTCCTTCCTGCCCCAGGAGACAGGGAGCGACGGCCAGAGGCTGGGGTGGCCCCCGGGGGCATCCCCCAGACCCCGAGCCCCTCACCTATGACCCCAGCCCACCCCGCGCCCACCTCCAGGGCTGGTGTGCCTGGCGTGCTTCCTCTGCTCCACCTGCTTTGTGCTGCAGTCTGGAAGCTACTGGCTGGAGATCTTCGACAACTTTGTGGCGTCTCTGAACCTGCTCATCTTCGCCTTCTGCGAGGTGGTCGGCGTCATCTATGTCTACGGGATGAAGCGGTGAGCCACCCCTCCCCCCGACTCACACCCCCAAGCACACGGATGGGGTTCCCAGGCCGGGGCTGAGCCGGGCTGGCTTCCTGGGCCTGAGGGCGGCCTGTCGAGTGTCCCGTGTGGCAGGTTCTGTGATGACATCGAGTGGATGACCGGCCGGCGGCCCAACCTGTACTGGCGGGTGACATGGCGGGTGGTGAGCCCCCTCTTGCTGCTCAGCATCTTCCTGTCCTGTGTCGTCCTCCTGGCCCAAAGGCCGCCCCGCTACAAGGCCTGGAACCCCCAATATGTAGGTCTTCTGGTGCAATGTGGGGTTCTTGTGTCCTGGCCCCCACAGGGCCACTCAGGGCTGGATACCCCGTGGACAGGCCTCTGGCAGCATGGCCTGGCCTCGTAGGGTGAGGGGCACTGGGGTGGCCTGGCCACGTGGGGTGACCGGGCACTGGGGTGTACACAGCTTGCGTGGCCGAGGCCCAAGGCTGGGTGCTCCAGCCTGCTCTCAACTCAGGAGGAGAGGGAGCGTGCTTGTGGGCAGCCTCCTCCCACTCGGGCTGGGGCTGGCTCCTCCCAGGGGCCCCCGAGTATGGGAACCTGCCCCTTGCACCTACTTGGGCCGGGGAGGGGGCATCCAGCCCAGCCTCCCAGTGCCCCTCCTGTCTCTGCAGGTGCAGTTCCCCTTGCGGGAGGAGAAGCTGTACCCAGGCTGGGTGCTAGCCACCTGTGTGCTCCTGGCCTTCCTGCCCATCCTCTGGGTCCCCACCATCGCGCTGGCCCAGCTGCTGGCCCGGCGCCGACAGAGGACAGACACACAGCCAGCCACCAGCCTGAAGCCATAACACGTCGGGGCCTGCGGAGGGAGCGGGCTGGGGGGGGGCGCTCCTGGCGTGTGCTCGCTTAGACCCATACACGGTCTCTCCCACCCATGCCGTGTGCTCGCTTAGATCCATACACGGTCTCTACCACCCATGCCGTGTGCTCCTGGTGTGTGCTCGCTTAGATCCATACACGGTCTCTACCACCCATGCCGTGTGCTCGCTTAGATCCATACACGGTCTCTACCACCCATGCCGTGTGCTCCTGGCGTGTGCTCGCTTAGATCCATACACGGTCTCTACCACCCATGCCGTGTGCTCGCTTAGATCCATACACGGTCTCTACCACCCATGCCGTGTGCTCCTGGCGTGTGCTCGCTTAGATCCATACACGGTCTCTACCACCCATGCCGTGTGCTCGCTTAGATCCATACACGGTCTCTACCACCCATGCCGTGTGCTCGCTTAGATCCATACACGGTCTCTCCCACCCATGCCGTGTGCTCCTGGCGTGTGCTCGCTTAGATCCATACACGGTCTCTACCACCCATGCCGTGTGCTCGCTTAGATCCATACACGGTCTCTACCACCCATGCCGTGTGCTCGCTTAGATCCATACACGGTCTCTCCCACCCATGCCGTGTGCTCCTGGCGTGTGCTCGCTTAGATCCATACACGGTCTCTACCACCCATGCCGTGTGCTCGCTTAGATCCATACACGGTCTCTACCACCCATGCCGTGTGCTCCTGGCATGTGCTCACTTAGATCAATACACGGTCTCTACCACCCATGCCGTGTGCTCGCTTAGATCCATACACGGTCTCTCCCACCCATGCCGTGTGCTCCTGGCGTGTGCTCGCTTAGATCCATACACGGTCTCTACCACCCATGCCGTGTGCTCGCTTAGATCCATACACGGTCTCTACCACCCATGCCGTGTGCTCGCTTAGATCAATACACGTTCTCTACCACCCATGCCGTCTGCTCGCTTAGATCCATACACGTTCTCTACCACCCATGCCGTGTGCTCCTGGTGTGTGCTCGCTTAGATCCATACACGGTCTCTACCACCCATGCCGTGTGCTCGCTTAGATCCATACACAGTCTCTACAACCCATGCCGTGTGCTCGCTTAGATCAATACACGTTCTCTACCACCCATGCCGTGTGCTCGCTTAGATCAATACATGTTCTCTCCCACCCATGCCGTGTGCTCCTGGCGTGTGCTCGCTTAGATCCATACACGGTCTCTACCACCCATGCCGTGTGCTCGCTTAGATCCATACACGGTCTCTACCACCCATGCCGTGTGCTCGCTTAGATCAATACACGTTCTCTACCACCCATGCCGTCTGCTCGCTTAGATCCATACACGTTCTCTACCACCCATGCCGTGTGCTCCTGGTGTGTGCTCGCTTAGATCCATACACGGTCTCTACCACCCATGCCGTGTGCTCGCTTAGATCCATACACAGTCTCTACAACCCATGCCGTGTGCTCGCTTAGATCAATACACGTTCTCTACCACCCATGCCGTGTGCTCGCTTAGATCAATACATGTTCTCTCCCACCCATGCCGTGTGCTCCTGGCGTGTGCTCGCTTAGATCCATACACGGTCTCTACCACCCATGCCGTGTGCTCGCTTAGATCAATACACGGTCTCTACCACCCATGCCGTGTGCTCGCTCAGATCCATACACGGTCTCTACCACCCATGCCGTGTGCTCCTGGCGTGTGCTCGCTTAGATCAATACACGTTCTCTACCACCCATGCCGTGTGCTCGCTTAGATCCATACACGGTCTCTACCACCCATGCCGTGTGCTCGCTTAGATCAATACACGTTCTCTACCACCCATGCCGTGTGCTCCTGGCGTGTGCTCGCTTAGATCCATACACGGTCTCTCCCACCCATGACAGTGCCCACTGACTCCCCAGCTCACCCTCAGCACACAGCAATCTCCAGAGATTCACAGGGTCCAGGACACCATGTCCACCCTGCGTCCTGAGCATCTGGAGAACCTGAACCTCTCCCAGCCAGGACTGGTGGTGGTGGAGCGCTTGCTACCCCTGGGAATCCACGCCAGCTGGGGCGGCACTCAAAATGGTGACATGCAGAGCTGGGAACTCATTGTAGGTGTGAGACCTCCATGTCACGAGTCATAGGAATCTGACCCCAGGCTGATCTCCAAGAAAAGAGCTGAGCTAAAATATGTAGGCCCTGAGCACAAAGAAGCCCTGGCAGAGACACACCTGGGCTCACCACCTCTGAGGGGAGCGAGGTCCAGACGATTCAGACAACCTTCCCACCTTCCCATCAGGAGTCAGCCAAGTCGTGAGAGTATGAACAATGAATGCGGTGGTGCCGTTTTTATTTTCTCAATGCTCATTTTAGTCAAGAAAGCATAAGAGACAGGCAAGGGGGCTCTTAGGAGGCGTCTGAAGTGAGAAAGACCACTTCTCAACCCACAGCTGGCACTGCGCCATGCGGGAGGCTGACACCGGCAGGATGCGGTCTGAGGTGAACCCCGGAAGAGCCCACGAGACTCCATCTCCATGGAAGGAGAGCTGCACGTGATCCCAAAACACCTGGTGTAGGCAGCCCCTGGCTATGAGCCATCCTCAGCGGGAGATCCCCACTAGTGTCCTGTCACCCGGGAAGCTCCAGTCTCTCCAAGAGCAAAAGGCTATGCCGGGTGCCGCTGGCTCATGCCTGAACCCTAGCTGCTCAGGAGGCTGAGAGCTGAGGTTTGAGGTTCAAAGGCAGCCCAGGAAAGTCCACGAGCCTCCTATCTCCAGTTATCACCTGAAAACTAGAAGTGGTGCTGTGGCTTAAGTGGTAGAGGGACAGCGCCCAGGCCCTGAGTTCAAGTCCCATGACCAACCAAAAAGTCTGTCCAGTCAAGGGGTGACACTGGCTCGCCACGCCCCCTCCGCAGTGGACTTCAGATCCCTGCGGAGGCTCAGCTCCCGGGTTGTGTGCCTGGCACCCACACGCCTCCTCCCTCCCCCCACCCCAGCAGCAGTGCGGACCAGCCGCAGCTCTAAAGCAGGAGGTGTTGGACATGGAACCCACATCCACCCATGGCTTCTGGTGGCCAGAAAAGCTTCGAGCAGGCCCTGGTACCTCATAAAAAACGAACTGGTAATGTGGTGCTGGCCATAGTGCTGAACACCCAAGCTAGCTAGGCATCACCGTGTGGTGGGATATTGGCTTGTACAGTGTCATCACCGTGTGGTGGGATATTGGCTTGTACAGTGTCACCGTGTGGTGGGATATTGGACTTGCTTCATGTAGTGAGCCATCCTTGCCACGGACAGCTCAGACCCTAAACAAAGCCAACTGAAGTGCCCTGCAAGTGACCCAGCACTCCAGCTCATGCTTCTCCCCACACCTGTCACAAGGGACAGCAGTGGACGCAGCAGAGGCCACGCCCATGGAGAGGTGGAGGACAGCAGTGGACACAGCAGAGGCCCATGGAGAGGTGGAGGACAGCAGTGGACGCAGCAGAGGCCCATGGAGAGGTGGAGGACAGCAGTGGACGCAGCAGAGGCCCACTGAGAGGTGGAGGACAGCAGTGGACACAGCAGAGGCCCATGGAGAGGTGGAGGGCAGCAGTGGATGCAGCAGAGGCCATGCCCATGGAGAGGTGGAGGGCAGCAGTGGATGCAGCAGAGGCCATGCCCATGGAGAGGTGGAGGACAGCAGTGGACGCAGCAGAGGCCCATGGAGAGGTGGAGGACAGCAGTGGACACAGCAGAGGCCCATGGAGAGGTGGAGGACAGCAGTGGACACAACAGAGGCCCATGGAGAGGTGGAGGACAGCAGTGGACGCAGCAGAGGCCCACTGTGCAGTGGATACAGAACGCAGCTGGGTGCGATGAGCTCAGCCTCTTCGGCTGCTCCACGAGAACTCAGAGACAGCTATCACCACCAGCCCGTCTTTCCTCAGCCACAACCAACTGAAAGCAAAGGACAGCCACTGGCCTAGGAGCTGGCTACACCCAAAGATGGACTTCAGCATAGTGAGACCCCGCCCATGGAACTCTCCAGAACCAGCATCCAGGCATCACTCTCGGCTGGGGCTCTCCGTGCTCCCTTCTCTAGGAAGTGGACACTGTTCCCCCAAGAAAGTTCTAGATGAGGAAGGGCTGCAGGGCCCCCGTGTGCATGGGGTGTGCGGCCCCCTCTGGAGGCGGAGCCTGCATGCGCCTGGACACCCTGCTGCTGGCCCAACTCCAGGCCGCGGCGTGTGGACGGCTGGGGGCTGAGTGGTGAGCCCAAGTCACAGCCACATCACAAACCAGGACGGGCCTCCTGACACCTCTGTGTGGCACGCGGACCCCACGCCAGCCCAGCACGCACCACACTCCACAAAGGTTCACCTCCCCGGAAGATGGACAGGAGGCGGCCCCACGGGTGACTGAGACAGACGGATGGACAGGAGGTGGTCTCATAAGTGAATGAGACACAGAAGTTGGTCCAAAACCCAGCAGAGGCCTGCCCACCGAACATGCAAATGACTCAGGGTCAGTAGCTGACCCCTCAGGAGCTGGGAGCCGGTACCTGGCCACCAGTCAGGGAGGTGGACAAGGCTGCCCAGGGAACGGGCCTGAGCCGTGACCACTCCCATGTGTAAAGCACCATCAACATGCCCCTGGGCCGCGGTCGCTCCGTCCCAGAGCTTCAGTGCCGACTTGGAAGCGCACCACTGCAGATGCGTGTCTGCTCAGGATGCACACAGCCCCCGCAGCCCCCGGGCCACGCACGGTCTCTACACCCCGCCAGCCCCCCCCCCCCCCCCCGCTCCACCCTCTAAGGCTGGCATTGTCTGGAGGTGACTAAACCCAGGGATCACGGGCACCTCCACATTCCAGCGTCCAATGTATCCACCGCTGTACAGAAGCGGACTCTTCCTGCCAGGAAGACCCTGGCCCATGGCTGAGAACCGTGAGCCTCGTAGATGGGCTGTGGATGCCCGACCGCCCTCTCGGCCCACACAAGCCTTGTCCTCAGCAGTGTGAGGTCAAGGGCAGACCAAGCTGCAGCGGGCAGCGGCCACACTCGGAAGGCACCAGACGGATACAGCCCTCCTCCACCCACAGCACGCTCCAGCGGTGGAGGTGTGCCACCGGCCTGGGCCCCGGAAGACGGCGTCCAGCCTGAGGACGCTGCCCAGAAGCCCACCCAAGCCACCAGGAGCCTCTGGCCTCTGCAGGCCACGGCTCAATCGGCATGGGTGACTGGTGCGTGGAGGGCTGTGAGTCATGCCCAGGCCTCTGGCCCTGGTGCTGCCTGGTGGGGAGCCACGAGCACGGTCCACGCAGGCGATAGGTCTCGCTCCGAGAACCAGTCCCGTGTTGTCTGCTGCTGCACTGAATCACCGAAACTGGCTTATAGCAAGGTGCTCCGGGCTGCGCCCCCACCGGCCGGCATGGGGCGTGGGCAGGCTGCCCCCCTCAGTCTCTCTGCTCATAAGCATCCCTTCACACACCCCAAATCGTAGGCTTGGGCCCTCCCAAAGACTCCTGGTAGTCTTTCTCATACCCTAGCTGTACAACTTCCTTCTCTTCCAGGCCTAGGACACCAGACCCTGCCATGCAATCCAGGATGGCAACTTCATCCATGAGCTGGCTGAACGCTCCTCTGCCCCCCCGCCCCCTGCACGGGTCCTGGCGTCCGGGGAGCATTGCTCTGCCTGGCTCAGGCTGTGGAAGGCTCAGGAGGTGCTCCGGGTGCACAGCATCGTGCCAGGTGGCTGGCACTGAGCCAGCACCCTTGGCAGGCAGAGGGTAAGGTTACAGAGGACAAGCCCCCTTGCTTGGCACCACTGGGGATTGGGCTTCACCCTCACCCAGTCTGAATTGTTGTTCCATACACATCTGGGGAGTCAATGCGAACAAGCTGCAGCCCACGATGTACGGGAGCACCAAAACCACATTTTCTTTTCTTGCGTGTGGTGAATTTTTCTGGTTAATTAGAGATACATCTCCTGGACATTTCTGCTTCAAATGGGCTTCAAACCCCATCTCTCAGATCTTGGTTCCTCAGCTAGGATTTTTTTTCCCCAGGCAAAAAAGTATTGGAGGAGAGCACACTGCACAAGACAGAACGTGCAGGTGGGCGAGGGAGGGGGAGGGGGAGGAGGAGGGGGAGGAAGAGGGGGAGGAGGGGGAGGAAGAGGGGGAGGAGGAGGGGGTGGAGGAGGGAGAGGAGCGGGAGGGGGAGGAGGGGGAGGGGGAGGAGGAGGAGGGGGAGTGGGAGGAGGAGGGGGAGGAGGAGGGGGAGAAGAGGGGGAGGAGGAGGGGGAGGGGGAGGAGGAGGGGGAGGGGGAGGAGGAGGGGGAGGAGGAGGGGGAGGGGGAGGAGGGGGAGGGGGAGGAGGAGGGGGAAGAGGAGGGGGAAGAGGAGGGGGAGGGGGAGGAAGAGGAGAAGGAAGAGGGGGAGGGGGAGGGGGAGGAGGAGGGGGAAGAGGAGGGGGAAGAGGAGGGGGAGGGGGAGGAAGAGGAGAAGGAAGAGGGGGAGGAGGAGGGGGAGTGGGAGGAGGAGGGGGAGGAGGAGGGGGAGAAGAGGGGGAGGAGGAGGGGGAGGAGGAGGAGGGGGAAGGGGAGTGGGAGGGGGAGGAGGGGGAGGAGAAGAGGGAGGAGGAGAAGAGGGAGGAGGAGGAGGGGGAGGGGGAAGAGGAGGGGGAGGGGGAGGAAGAGGAGGAGGGGGAGGAGAGGGAGGGGGAGGAGGAGGGGGAGGGGGAGGAGGAGGGGGAGGGGGAGGGGGAGGAGGAGGGGGAGAGCCCGGCCTGCCAGGCGTGCATGGGATGGAATGAGCAGCGGCTCACAGTAAGACTGGGTTTATGTAGGAAGAGGGTGAGTGGCCGTGAAGGACCTCAGAGCCTGGGAACTTCCATGGCCAAAGGAGGCATGACCAGGGTGGTCCAGAAGTGACCTCAGAGGAAGCGGCTCCGGAGGAAGTGACCTCCTTCAGAGCCTGGGGCCGCTCACTGTCCCAGGTGTGCTGTTACCTGGACAGACATGGCAGACTTCTAGGGAGGGACATGTACATGGAAAGAAAACAAGGGCCCGTTTTCCTGGGCGGACCTAACATTCCAGCCCTTTGACAGTTATAGAGGGGTGCAGATTCTCCCTGGCTACTTTTGCTGGCAAGGGGCGTCGACATTAGGGGTAGAAGATACAGATGTCACCCATTCCGAAAGCAGAAGTAACAGTTCCTTGGTGGTGAGCGTGGGTATGGATGACATCTGAAAGAAATCTTACAAGGCAGGGGCTGAGCAATAAGAAAAAAATATTATTAGAGGGCGCACTAACGGCAGAAGGAAGGGTTCAGGGAAGAAAATTAGAAATTAGATGGTGTGCTAGATCCTATCTCCTGCATTCCAGGTGGTCCTAGAGTTGGAGGAAAATAACCCCAGCTGACATCTGGAGACTCGTCAGAAGCTGGGCTGGACTGGAGCAGCTGCAGGCCCGGCGTGAGGCGTGAGCATTCCCTCCAACGGGACTGAGATGTCTGGATTAGAGTATGGATGGGAGACCCAGAAATGCACCAACGCAAACTGTCCTGAGACTAGGCCTCACCAGCTTTGACCATGATCCTCAGATTAAAGGAGTCTTTTAGCACAAGACCTTTTTTATTCCCAATTGAAGCAACAAGATCAACAGAAATAGTTGCTTTTGGGGGTCCAGTCATGGGGCCTAAACTCTGGGTCTGGGCGCTGTCCCTCAGCTCTTCAGCTCAAGGCAAGCGCTTTACCACTGAGCCACCTTCCCAGCCCCAACAGAAATAGTTTTAAAACAGGATTTACCTGGAACTTGTTAAGAACAGAGGTTTTCCAATAAATACAAGAGTTATTTATCCCTCTGTGGGGCTGACTAAATGCTGCAGAGCACCAAAACCTGTAACGACAAAACTCACCGCATAGAGCACTTTAGGATACTACTTAAGACTGAAGCCGGCGCTGCGTCCAAGCAGCGTGCACACTTGGGAAACAGATGTTAAGACATGTTTGTGTGCACCCAAATCTGATGAGCTTCTTTGCGGCTTGAGTTTAAAACTGCCCTCCCCACCAAAGGCCAGTTACCAAAGGCCTTTAAAACGATTTTCGTAAAGAGACGCACTAGCATATAAACTGGCCTTTGAACACTAGAAGGGTGAGGGTGTGACCACATGAAAAAGCAACTTGTGGTCAAGATGGAGAACTTCTGGACAAGTCAAGACAGTAAAACCTGGCAGAGCTTCACTAAGTAAGCAAGCAGCAAGGCAGGGGCACACAGTAACAGAGTGTGGGCAATCTCCAGGAGAGTTTTAGCTAAGAGAATTCAAGCCCAGGACGGCTAGCCTTCAAGAGGGGGCTCTCTGTGGCTCACCTTCAAAGGCACAAGCAGAAGGGGGGAGAGAGGGAGGGAAGGAGGAAGCTGAACTACAAGACAAGAAGTTACCTCTGGAGAGGAGATGGAGACAGGAGGCAGAGGATGAGCAGGAAAGCCTGAACGTACAGAACCTCTGGCGGTCGACCACTGGACTAGCAGAAACTGGCAATAAAAACAAGGCATTTTGACTTTATGGAGTTCCTTAAAAATGTAGGAGACACCTCAAAGGAGTGTCCCAGCTCAAAAGGGAACAAGAAACACAAGGAGGGAGTCTGGTCAGTGTAGAGGCTATGAATGGAAGGTGTCCCTGTCTACCCAGAATTACACTTGATTTAGACGTTCCAGAAATGGGAAATAACTGGCCAAACACGCATCTTTCTGGCATGGTGCCAGAGAGAGAGAGAGAGAGAGAGAGAGAGAGAGAGAAACAGAGACAGAGAGTCAGAGGGCGTGTAGGAAGTCGCCAGCCAGAAGCAGGGGGGTGGTGTGGTGGATACACACCCAGCCAAGGCCAAGGTGTTTAGTCCGTGTGGAGCTCCCTTAGCTTTCAGGCCCGGGGAGGTGTGGCCAGGAGGCAACTTGACTCGGAGACGGTGGAGGGAATTCAGCGACTCCTGGCGCTATCCCGTCCCAGGCGTCCACACCATGATGTAGGTTCAGCCCAAAGGACACCACCATGATCCAGGCAGAAAAGAGTTTAAGCCGGGCGCCAGTGGCTCACGCCTGTAATCCTAACTACTTTAGAAGGCTGAGATCTGAGGATGGCAGTGCAAAGCCAGCCTGGAAGGAAAGTCTGTGAGACTCATGTCCGATAACCATCATGTCTGATAACCATCAGAACTCCAGAAGTGGTGCTGTGGCTCAAGTGGTAGACACGAGCCTTGAGCTGAAGAGCGCAGGGACAATGCCCAGGCCCAAAGTTCAAGCCCACCACTGACAGAGACAGAGAGAGAAAGGGTGGGGGGAGTTTATTGGGGGAGAGCATACTGCGGGCCTGCACAGGTGGAGGGTGCGGGATGCAAGGGAGAGGGGAGTGGAGGGGGAGAAGGGACAAGCCCAGCCTGCCGGACTTGTCTTCCCTTTTGTTCAGCTTGGCCCTGCGGGCATCTGACAGTTGCCAGAGGTTTAAACATATAACCAGAGCTTCGTGCTTTGAGTGGTATCAGAGCAAGTTCCCTTTAAGGGCTAAATGCTTCGGTAGACCCACAAATGGTAAAAACCAGGTAAATCACACTAGGTTAGTCAGGATGTGGGGGCTAGAGCATCACCGCATGCCCGGCCCGACAGAGCGGCTGAGTGCGCACCAGGGACCCCATCCGCCTGCAACCCCAGGGAGGAAACGCACCACCGACCCCATCCGCCTGCAACCCCAGGGAGGACCTGCACCACCCACCCCATCCGCCTGCAACCCCAGGGAGGCCCCGCTCCACCGAACCCATCCACCTGCAACCCCAGGGAGACCCCGCACCACAGACCCCATCCACCTGCAACCCCAGGGAGGCCCCGCACCACAGACCCCATCCAGTACTGCAACCCCAGGGAGGCCCCCCACCACAAACCCCATCCAGTACTGCAACCCCAGGGAGGCCCCGCACCACAGACCCCATCCAGTACTGCAACCCCAGGGAGGCCCCGCAACACAGACCCCATCCAGTACTGCAACCCCAGGGAGGCCCCGCACCACCCACCCCATCCAGTACTGCAACCCCAGGGAGGCCCCGCACCACAGACCCCATCCAGTACTGCAACCCCAGGGAGGCCCCGCAACACAGACCCCATCCAGTACTGCAACCCCAGGGAGGCCCCGCACCACCCACCCCATCCAGTACTGCAACCCCAGGGAGGCCCCGCACCACAGACCCCATCCAGTACTGCAACCCCAGGGAGGCCCCGCAACACAGACCCCATCCAGTACTGCAACCCCAGGGAGGCCCCGCACCACCCACCCCATCCAGTACTGCAACCCCAGGGAGGCCCCGCACCACCCACCCCATCCAGTACTGCAACCCCAGGGAGGCCCCGCACCACAGACCCCATCCAGTACTGGAACACCAGGGAGGCCCCGCACCACAGACCCCATCCAGTACTGCAACCCCAGGGAGGCCCCGCACCACAGACCCCATCCAGTACTGCAACCCCAGGGAGGCCCTGCACCACAGACCCCATCCAGTACTGCAACCCCAGGGACGCCCCGCACCACACACCCCATCCGCCTGCAACCCCAGGGAGGCCCCGCACCACCCACCCCATCCAGTACTGCAACCCCAGGGAGGCCCCGCACCACCGACCCCATCCAGTACTGCAACCCCAGGGAGGCCCCGCACCACAGACCCCATCCAGTACTGCAACCCCAGGGAGGCCTCGCACCACCCACCCCATCCACCTGCAACCCGAGGGAGGCCCCGCACCACAGACCCCATCCAGTACTGCAACCCCAGGGAGGCCCCGCACCACAGAACCCATCCAGTACTGCAACCCCAGGGAGGCCTCGCACCACCCACCCCATCCACCTGCAACCCCAGGGAGGCCCCGCACCACAGACCCCATCCAATACTGCAACCCCAGGGAGGCCCCGCACCACAGACCCCATCCGCCTGCAACCCCAGGGAGGCCCCGCACCACAGACCCCATCCGCCTGCAACCCCAGGGAGGCCCCGCACCACAGACCCCATCCAGTACTGCAACACCAGGGAGGCCCCGCACCACCCACCCCATCCACCTGCAACCCCAGGGAGGCCCTGCACCACAGACCCCATCCACCTGCAACCCCAGGGAGGATCTGCACCACAGACCCCATCCAGTACTGCAACCCCAGGGAGGCCCCGCACCACAGACCCCATCCAGTACTGCAACCCCAGGGAGGCCCTGCACCACAGACCCCATCCGCCTGCAACCCCAGGGAGGCCCCGCACCACAGACCCCATCCGCCTGCAACCCCAGGGAGGCCCCGCACCACAGACCCCATCCAGTACTGCAACCCCAGGGATGCCCTGCACCACAGACCCCATCCAGCACTGCAACCCCAGGGAGGCCCCGCACCACAGACCCCATCCAGTACTGCAACCCCAGGGAGGCCCCGCACCACAGACCCCATCCACCTGCAACCCCAGGGAGGCCCCGCACCACAGACCCCCATCCAGTACTGCAACCCCAGGGAGGCCCCGCACCACCCACCCCATCCAGTACTGCAACCCCAGGGAGGCCCCGTACCACCCACCCCATCCAGTACTGCAACCCCAGGGAGGCCCCGCACCACAGACCCCATCCACCTGCAACCCCAGGGAGGCCCCGCACCACAGATCCCATCCATCTGCAACCCCAGGGAGGCCCTGCACCACCCACCCCATCCAGTACTGCAACCACAGGGAGGCCCCGCACCACAGACCCCATCCGGTACTGCAACACCAGGGAGGCCCCGCACCACCCACCCCATCCAGTACTGCAACCCCAGGGAGGCCCCGCACCACAGACCCCATCCAGTACTGCAACCCCAGGGAGGCCCCGCACCACAGACCCCATCCAGTACTGCAACCCCAGGGAGGCCCCGCACCACCGACCCCATCCAGTACTGCAACCCCAGGGAGGCCCCGCACCACAGACCCCATCCACCTGCAACCCCAGGGAGGCCCCGCACCACAGACCCCATCCGCCTGCAACCCCAGGGAGGCCCCGCACCACCCACCCCATCCAGTACTGCAACCCCAGGGAGGCCCCGCACCACAGACCCCATCCAGTACTGCAACCCCAGGGAGGCCCTGCACCACAGACCCCATCCAGTACTGCAACCCCAGGGAGGTCCCGCACCACAGACCCCATCCGCCTGCAACCCCAGGGAGGCCCCGCACCACAGACCCCATCCAGTACTGCAACCCCAGGGAGGCCCTGCACCACAGACCCCATCCAGTACTGCAACCCCAGGGAGGCCCCGCACCAGACCCCATCCGCCTGCAACCCCAGGGAGGCCCTGCACCACAGACCCCATCCACCTGCAACCCCAGGGAGGCCCGGCACCACCGACCCCATCCAGTACTGCAACCCCAGGGAGGCCCCGCACCACAGACCCCATCCAGTACTGCAACCCCAGGGAGGCCCCGCAACACAGACCCCATCCAGTACTGCAACCCCAGGGAGGCCCTGCACCACAGACCCCATCCAGTACTGCAACCCCAGGGAGGCCCCGCACCACAGACCCCATCCAGTACTGCAACCCCAGGGAGGCCCCGCACCACAGACCCCATCCGCCTGCAACCCCAGGGAGGCCCCGCACCACAGACCCCATCCACATGCAACCCCAGGGAGGCCCTGCACCACAGACCCCATCCAGTACTGCAACCC